TAGACCATTATTTTAAGAAATTAAAAAATACTACTGCCCCACCATCATGGCTCAGTAGTTGAGCATTGACCTATGAACCAGGAGGTCACGGTTCAGTTCCTGGTCAGGGCACATGCCCCAGTTGCAGGCTCAGTGGGGGGCGTGCAGGAGGCCTCCAATCAATGATTCCCTTTCATCATTGATGTTTCCATCTCTCTCCGTCTGTCCTTCCTCTCTGAAATCAATAAAAACATACTTTTTAAAAATACTACCAATTAAACTGGGTATATAACAAATACCCATTTCAGGTATTAAATTTTCTTAGAAATGATGAAACATGGTAGATAAAAATATATCTGAAGCCCTAACCAGTTTGGCTCAGTGGATAGATAGAGCATTGGCATGCGGACTCAAGGGTCCCAGGTTCAATTCCAGTCAAGGGCATGTACCTTGTTTGTGGGCACATCCCCGGTGGGGAGTGTGCAGAAGGCAGCTGATCGATGTTTCTCTCTCATTGATGTTTCTAACTCTCTATCCCTCTCCCTTCCTCTCTGTAAAAAATCAGTAAAATATTTTTTTTTAATATATTTTATTGATTTCTTACAGAGAGGAAGGCAGAGAGATAGAGAGTCAGAAACATCAATGAGAGAGAAACATCGATCAGCCGCCTCCTGCACATCCCCCACCGGGGATGTGCCCACAACCCAGGTACATGCCCCCGACCGGAATCGAACCTGGGACCTTTCAGTCTGCAGGCCGACGCTCTATCCACTGAGCCAAACCGGTTTCAGCAAGTAAAATATATTAAAAAAAAAAAAAAAAAATCTGAAAAAAAAAAAAAAATTTAAATCAAACGCTGTACATCTGGGTCCTGGCTGGGTAGCTAGCTTAGTTGGTTAGAGTGTTATCCCAATATACGAAAGCTGTGGGTTCATACAAGAATCAAACAATGAAATTAAAAAACAAAACAAAAAACCAATGAATGCATAAATAAGTGGAAAAACAAATGTTTCTCTCTCTCTCTCTCTTCCCCCCCTCCCTTCCTCTCTCTCTAAAATCAACAATAATAATAATAAAAATTGTACATCTGAAGCATCTGTATTACACTTCAAACATAAGTGGAAAAAGCTCTGGACTAGAGGATTTGTAAAGTACCTCAATTCTGTAGTATGGGGGGGTGCCTTATGTTTAGGATACCATGAATCATGCTATTGGTACTCTTTTAAGTTACAACCAAAATTACTGTGCCCCCAGCTACTCCCAAAAATGTCTACAATTATATGAATAATTCATTCAGAAGTCTATGAGCTGTATACTAATTCAGCTAGTGTTTAGTCAATGAATATATTTGAACATAAAATATTTTTAGTACTGTTTCACTTCAGAAAAGGAAACTAAAAACAAAGTTTGTAAGTAAAACATTATACAAAGGGAAAAGCTAGGTTTTACTTGAGCTATTTATTTTCTCATTAAGTCAGTTACACAGAAACAGTATAATAATAATAAAGTGATGACAATACAAGAGGCACTCAATAAACATTTGGTGAATTTATGGCAGATGCTACTTTCAACTTTCATGCACCAGTCCTGTAGCAGGTTTTGCTGATTTCAAACATAAAGAAATTCTTTCCCCAAGGTCTTACACTCCAGTGGAGTGAAGACAATGTAAGCAGATACATTCCAATACAATACAATAAATTGCTGCAGAAGATTTTGCTCAGGTACACTATACTTCATTGATCAAGGGAGAATACAGAAGTTATTGAACATTCTCCAGAAAAGCAGCTAACAATGTTTATTTCAGAACTAGGAAGGGACAATTCCCTTCAAACAAACTAGGGAATGGACAAAAATTAGGCAAGCTACAATATACTCTGGTTCCTCTCTAATATGAATTTCTAAGTAAAATTAGGAGTGGCATACACTCAACAAGATGTGAGGTCTCTGACAGTCGACTTAAATAAGTGGAACTGCTCTCCTCTAAGTCTTGGAAGTTGCAGTAAGCTTCCAAAGCTAGAAAGTCATATTAAACAAAATAAGTCAATATTTTCCCTCCAAATCACTGCTTATAAACATTTTCAGAAAATTAAAGACTTTTCAATAATTTAAGTATTTCCTCTTAGGAAATAACTACTTGCATCACTACTGTTGAGCAAACCAAAACTGATCATTTGGGTAGATGACACCAGCATGAATAACAAATAAAATAGTACACCAAGTTATGCATTGCTTGTACATTTCACCAGATTGAAAAATATACGGCATAATTACAGTACTTACAAAGAATAATCAGTTTGGAGTATGCCTGGTGTCTGGCTATATAACTTTTTTTTAATGTAAGGTTAAACCTCACACCCAGGTGGAACTCAGACTTCTACCCTTCTGTCACATGGAAATCATGTAAAATAACCATAACCAGATCATTAATTAGAATTTATATAATGTCAACATGATGTTTTTAAAACAAAAACCAACTAACTACATACCAGAATCAAGACTTTGCATTCTAATAAAGTAGAAAAAATTGGATTTGGAGTTTATCAAAATTTAAAACTTTTGCATTTCAAACGCCACCAAGAAAATGAAAAACCTACAGAATGCGGAAAATATGTACAAACCATATATCTGATAAGGGACTTGCATCTGAAATATATGAAGAACTCTTACAACTAAACAATAAAAAGACAAACAACCCAATTAAAAAATGAGCAAAGGATCTGAATAGACATGTCTCCATATAAGATATAGAGAAAGCCCATGAAAAGAAGTTCAAAATCATTAGTCATTAGGGAAATGCAAATCAAAGCCACAATGAAATACTATGTCACACCATTAGAACAGCTAGAATCAAAAAGTCAGGCAGGCCCTAACCAGTTTGGCTCAGTGGATAGAGCGTCGGCCTGTGGACTGAAGGGTCCCAGGTTCGATTCCGGTCAAGGGCATGTACTGTGGTTGCGGGCACATCTCCAGTGGGGGATGTGCAGGAGGCAGCTGATCGATGTTTCTCTCTCATCGATGTTTCAAACTCTCTGTCCCTCTCCCTTCCTCTCTGTAAAAAAATCAATAAAATATATTTAAAAAAAAAAAAAAAAGGCAGGCAGTGTTTGTGAGGATGTGAAGAAGTCACAAGGCTCCTTTTCATTGCTGGAGGGAATATAATATAGTTTCTCTTTGGAAAACAGTCTGGCAGGTCCTCAAACAACTAGACATAATTACCATATAATCCAGTAATTCCATACCTAAGTATATACCCGGAAAAATGAAAATATATATCCATACATAAACTTGTACACAAATGTTTATGGGAGCATTATTCATAATAGCCAAAAAGTGAAAATAACCCAAATCAACAAATGAATGAATAAAATGTGGTAGATCTAAACAATGGAATATTATTTAGTCATAAAAATGGATGAGGTATTAACACATGCTACATGATTAAAACTACGTAGATTATACACTTTTAACAGATGAAATAGGTATGCAAACCATATCACAATAAAGGTGTTTTTAAAAATATAAAATTAACTTCCTGAAACCAAACTCAATATTCATTTATAGCTCCATCTCCCAGAGGCTTCAGATTTCTTATGACCCATCACTCGAAGGTGTTATCAAGGACCTTATAGAGAAAGTTGGCCTTTTTCCACGGGATCTTGGATTTTAGTAACCATTTCAAAACCCCTGGAGAGGAGGCGGCCAGGTTACACAGCTGTTACCTAGTCACACAAATCTTGGAACCAAGTTTTTCCTACCTGGTAAACATAGAGAATCATGTCCAGCAGCACCCTATTTGGGAAAGTAGGTAAGAGGAAGAATGGGGAGCAGGAAGGAATCAATACTGGAAATGTTGAAGATAACTCATCAGGTTGTGATTCCTACTTCTGATACAGAGATGAGTTTCTATGAACCCCTTATTTCTAATAACTTACCCTCCCCAAAATAAACTCAGAGGGAAAACCTCAGATTTAAAAGAACCACTAAGGGATCAATTACTGTGTGTATATTTGCCTGCAATACCAAACTTGTATTGCAGATAAATTGCTGGTGGAAATATAGTTTCTCTTTGAAAAACAGTCCAGCAGTTTTTAATATAAGGTTAAACCTCATACTTACATGGAGCTTAGACTTCTATCCCGATGTGTAAATATGTAATAATATTTAGCCACTAAAACCAGTTTTCCAAAAGTTTTTGTAATTCAACACAATCACTCACTCCTTAAAAGAACATGTAGTTTTATTTACTTATAATGCCATTAGACTCTAACAAGTGTCTTCTCTTGATTCTCAATGGCATTTATTTATGAAATAACATTATTGGGTTCCCACTAAATGAAAGTAACCAAAAATTTTACAGACTACAGTGTGATACAGAAGGAGAATCAAAGAACCTGAAATTGAGAAACTATCCCTGGACTCAACATCTAGCTAAAAAATCTTGTGAAAGTCACTACATATCTATACTTCCATTGCCCATATATAAAATAAACTTGGCCTATAACCTAGATGATCCATAATGTACTTTCCATTAGAACTACTATTTCAACATATGTAAAGACCTAATATGAGGCCATAGGATTGCTCTCCTCCTGTGGTTCGAAACTTAGCTGAGTTCCAACTGAAACTGTAAATAACCTATTCTTACACAAATCAGCTAAGACTTTGTAAACAAGAATAAATCATTCCCAAACCTAGTCATGAAGTCCCAAAGATTAACTTATAAGTACATTTGCTCTTTAAAAAGTCAACTACTTTTAAACAAACTTTGAACATTAAATTTTATTCTATTTATTCCAATCTACATGCATCATATCCGACCCTTTGAAGGTTTATATCAAACAGCTCCCCAAATAACTGTTAAGTGGATGTTTCCACATATGGGCAATCTTTGCTTTCCACAGTTCCCATATGCATGGCTTCTGTTACCATGGTTTGGTTAAATAAGTAGTCTCCCATCAACACAGTTCAGACTTCAGTTAACACAGTAATATTAACTATGAGGAATCGCATAAAGTACAAACTTTGCTGCTAGTTAGTTCTTCAGTCCACAAATCTCTATGTAAATAAGAGTTGAGCATCCTATCAGTGGCCAATCACTTCACATCTTTCAAAGTCTGTTGGTGATGGGTCACTGCACATTTGTCACTCAGTTCACTTCAGCAAAGCATGTAGCAGTGTTGCCTCCTTGTCTACCAGTGGTAAGTAAACCCATGTGACGTTCTATAAAAATAGTCGAAAAAGAAAATTAGCCCACAAAGATGAAAGTGCAGCAAAGAAACAAAAACTAGTAACATTGGAAGTGCAATCTGAATCAACTATAAATAGTTATAGATGCAATACCCCACCACATGAATGTTGGAGACTCTAGAGGAGCAGCCAGAACTTTGTAAAGTTGAGTTTATTATGTAAATGAGAAAAGTGACACTGAAGAAAGGATGACAATGTCCCAGAGGAAGTAAAAAAACTTCAGAATAAACTCTGAGAGAGATTTCCTTACACTGAAAGCACAAAAGATAAAATACTGGAAAGAGCAAATGTACCACACTAACATAAGATAATATAAAACTAATTATGAAGTATAAGGGAATTCTGTACTATACTCACCTTTCCGTAAATCTAAAACTCTTGTAGAATAAAGTTGGTTTAAAAAAAAAAGTATTGCACAGCCCTAGCTGATTTGGCTCAGTGGATAGTCAGCCTGTGGACTGAAGGGAACATGCTCGGGTTGTGAGCTTGAATCCCAGTAGGGAACATGCAGGAGGCAGCCGATCAATGACTCTCTATCATCATTGATGTTTCTCTCTCTCCCGCTCTCCCTTCCTCCCTGAAATCAATAAAAATCTATTTAGAAAAAAAAAGGATTGCCCTAACCGGTTTGGCTCAGTGGATAGAGCATCAGGCTGCGGACTCAAGGGTCCCAGGTTCAATTCCGGTCAAGGGCATGTACCTTGGCTGCGGGCACATCCCCAGTGGGGGGCGGGCAGGAGGCAGCTGATCGATGTTTCTCGCTCATCGATGTTTCTCGCTCATCAATGTTTCTAACTCTCTATCCCTCTCCCTTCCTCTCTGTAAAAAAATCAATAAAATATATTTTTTAAAAAAGTATTGCACATACTTTTTTACCTAGCACTAATTTAGTACTGAGATATAATGAAATTTTTGAATCACAGGCACTAAATTCTATTCTCTAGAGTAGTATTCCTTAAGCTATGTATGTCCTGTGAAATGTGCTAGGAAGGAAAGTGTGAAAGCCACTTTCTAGTTTAAAGGGAAGTAAGATGCATGATTTGAGGAATATTCAGTAGTTCCTCATAACAGAAAGAACACTAGACTGAGGATAAAACACAACCTGGATTTTAATCTTGAATTATTAGTAACCAACAATGTAAAACCTTGTATTTCATTAAGCCTCTGTTTTTTCATCTGCAAAATAAGAAGACCAACTGGTATGGAAAAGTATGTTTCAGCTTAAAAGTCTCAGTCCAATTAGAATTTCTTCCCAAAATGTTTCTTCAACTATGAGAATGGTAAAATAGATGATTTAGATAATGCGCATTAAAATATAATGCTTGCCCCAGCAGGGAGGCTCAGTTGGCTGGAGCAGCCCCTGGTACACCAAAAAGAGTACGGGTTCAATTCTGGTCAGGGCATATACCTAGGTTGCGGGTTCAATCCCCAGTCAGGATGCATGCCAAAGGTAATAGATCGGTGTTTCTCACATTAACATTTCACAAAGCTCGCTCAGTGCGCGCTCTCTCCCCCTCTCTCTTCCCCCCCCTCTCTAAAATCAATAAAACATATCATAGGGGGGATTAAAATATTCCTATGTAATCCTACATAATAAAAGGCTTATATGCAAATTGTCCCCTCAACCAGGAGTTTGACCAGGGGGTGGGGCCGGCCAACCAATGGCCTCTCCCCCTGGGTGGCCCCGCCCCCAATCACCCTCTAACCCTGATCAGGGGTGGAGTCAGCCCACCAACCACCTGCGGCCCCTCCCCCGGGCAGGCTCGGCCCCCATCTGTTCTGATCAATATGGGCTGGCCAGACCCCAACTGTGCACGATTTCGTGCACTGAGCCTCTAGTGCTTTAATAAAAATGAAACAATATTTGTCAGGTCTTTTTTTCTTTTTGGCCTATTATCAAACAACTATCTTTATCAAGATTATTTTTACTTATGCCATGGCTGGGTAGCTCAGTTGGTTATAATGTTGTCCCGATACACCAGGGTTGTGGGTTCCATTCCCAGGTAGGGCACATAAATAGAAACAACCACTGAATGCATAAGTGTAACAACAAATAGATGTTCCTCGCTCTGTCTCCCTTCCTTTCTCTCTCTAAAATCAATCATTAAAAGACTATTTTGACTTAAATAAAAAATGTATTTTACATCCATCAAAATCATCTAATTTTATTTTATTTTTTTTAATATATTTTATTGATTTTTTACAGAGAGGAAGGGAGAGAGATAGAGAGTTAGAAACATCGATGGGAGAGAAACATCGATCAGCCGCCTCCTG